CTAATAACAGTACGGATAAAGTAAATGTTATGAGAAAGCGAGAAAGAAAGCAAATAAAGAACACAGAGGTTTTACGTGGTTCGGTGACGGTGTGTCAACCTACGTCCACGGGCAGGAACCGGAGAGATTTTATTATACTGATTCAGAGATTTACAATGTGTCATCCGACTAAGAACCATAGTTGTCTATTTATAAGCACCCCAAAACACCCTAAACCCTAAGCCTATTTGTTATTAATTAGGATAAGCCCAAAAGGAACCCTGCCAATTGAAACAGCCCTTTCGCTTTGGTTTAGGGTCGGGTAGACCGCTAAATCCAAGTCACGTTTCAACAATCTCCACCTTGACTTGGAGTTTCTCCAACCGCCAAAGGTTCGTCAGTATCTCTCAGTCGTCTCCTTCCTGCCAGATGCCCCGAGAGGGCTTTACCTCCTACGAATATTCACCAAGTTCAAGCAGTGCTCAAACTTCTCCGTCGGTAGCGCCTTTGTCAACATATCAGCTGGATTGTGTTCTGTAGCTATTTTCTGAATAGAAAACTTGTCTTCTTCCAGAACATCACGGATAAAATTCAACCTTACATCAATATGTTTGGTTCTCTCATGATACACTGGATTTTTAGCCAAACTCAAAGCACTTTGACTATCACAGAATAACACCGGTTTTTCCACCTTCAGACCCAAACTCTGTACCAGACCATATAACCAGATACCCTCCTTAATACCTTCAGTCATTGACATGTATTCCGCCTCAGTCGTCGACAATGCAACCGTAGGTTGTAAAGTAGACTTCCAACTGACTGCACATCCAAACAGAGTGAAGAAAAAACAAGTTAGTGATCTTCGTTTCACCAAGTCACCCCCGTAATCAGAGTCTGCATAGCCAACAACACCATCACCATGGCCTTTATCATCATATACCAGACAAATATCAGACGCTCCTTTCAAATATCGCAAGATCCACTTTACAGCTCCCCAGTGAGCTTTACCCGGATTAGCCATAAACCTGCTCACCACACTAACCGCATAAGCGAGATCCGGTCTCGTACATACCATCGCATACATAAGACTTCCAACTGCACTTGAATATGGAACCGTCTTCATATAATTAACCTCTTCATCTGTAGCCGGTATAGTGTTTCGATCAAGTTTAAAGTGTGCCGCCAAAGGGGTACTTACCGGTTTGGACTGATCAACAGAGAATGCCTGCAAAACTTTCTCAATATACTTTTCTTGAGAAACCCACAACCGTCTTGCTTCTCTATCACGCCAGATCTCCATACCAAGTATTTTCTTTGCCGCACCCAAATCCTTCATCTCAAACTCACCCTTTAGTAGAGCCTTCAAGTCATTAATTACAGCCATATTTTTAGCTGCAATTAACATATCATCCACATACAACAGCAGATACACAAAGGAATCAGTAGAAACTTTCTTCGAGTAAACACAGTTATCAAACTGATTACGAGTATAACCATTAGACACCATGAATGAGTCAAATCTCTTGTACCATTGCCTCGGAGACTGCTTCAAGCCATACAGAGATTTCTTTAACAAGCATACCTGGTCCCCTTTAGAACTGTAGAACCCCTCCGGTTGAGACATGTAAATCTGTTCTTCTAGATTACCATGAAGGAATGCTGTTTTTACATCAAGCCGCTCCAGCTCCAGATCAAAAGCACCCACCATTGCCAAAAGAACCCGAATGGTTTTGTGTTTCACCACAGGAGAAAAGACTTCATGGTAATCGATTCCTTCCTTCTGTGAAAACCCTTTTGCCACCAGTCTCGCCTTGAACCTAGCAGGTTCAACACCAGGAATTTCCTCATTTCTTTTAAAGACCCACTTGCATCCCACTGGCTTCACCCCTTTTGGTAGTGCAACAAGATCCCAAGTCTTGTTCTTTTCAAGAGACTGCATCTCTTCATTCATTGCCATAATCCAGGTTTCTGCATCTTTACTCGCCACAGCTTCTTTATATGTCTTTGGCTCATCAGAGCAAAGATCATCACCAACCGCTAGTGCATAAGCAACAGAATCCATGTCACACGTATTGACACATCCTGCAAACCTAGCTGGTTTCTGAATATTTCTCTTTCCCTTTCTTGCTGCTATGGAATCTTCAACTCCCGTACCAGCGTCATCAGCTTCCCCCTCAACCGGTTTCCCTTGAGGTTTTGACTGATCTGGTTGATCGGATTGATCAGTAGTATTATCCTGCTGCTTTTCCTCTAACACAACTCTGTCAAGAGTCTCAAACTCCACCTTCTGGTTAGCACCACAATCTTTTGTACCTGCAATACTTTCACAACCTCTACTCTGATCAAGCATAGCAGATTCATCAAAGGTTACATCTCTGCTAATAAGAAATTTACCAGGATTTTTACCTTCTGTACACCACAGTCGATAACCTTTTACTCCTGTTGCATACCCTAGAAATATGCATTTTACCGCCCTCGGCTCCAACTTACCATCATTCACATGAGCGTATGCAGGGCATCCAAATATTCTTAGATTAGAGTAATCAGAGGGTTTACCGGACCATACCTCTTGAGGAGTCTTTAAGTCAATTGCAGTTGATGGAGATCTATTAACCAGATAGCTAGTAGTGTTTACTGCTTCAGCCCAGAATTGCTTAGACAAGCCAGCAAATATGCGCATACACCTAGCACGCGCTATGAGGGTTTGATTCATTCGCTCTGCAACTCCATTTTGCTGTGGTGTGTGTCGTACAGTGCGGTGCCTCACTATACCTTCTTTCTTGCAGAAATCATCAAATGGAGCGTTGCAGAACTCCAACCCATTATCAGTTCTTAGAGTCTTGACCTGTTTACCCGTCCGTTTTTCAACCATGGTCTTCCACTCCTTGAACTTCCCAAACACCTCATCTTTAGTCTTTAGAAAGTACAACCAGACTTTTCTCGAATAATCATCTATGAAAGTGACAAAGTAAGAACATCCGCCCTGCGATTTCACCGGAGAGGGACCCCATAGATCTGAATGAACATACTCCAGAATTTCTTTTGAAGTGTGATGACCGGTACTAAACCTCACCCTGCGTTGCTTCCCTTTTACACAAGCCTCACAGAATTGAATTTTACCTATCACATCCCCACCAAATAAACCCTGCTTGCTCAAGACAGACAACCCTAGCTCACTCATGTGACCTAATCGCCGGTGCCACAAATTTGTCCTGTCATCATGTTTATCCAAGGACTGAGATACCGCCGCCGTTCCCATCACTGAACTGCCCTGTAGAAAATAAATTCCATGCTGCAGTTTTCCCTTCATCATTACTAGCGCACCTTTCAGGACTTTCACCCACTCACCTTCACCATGATATTTTAAACCATTCTTGGCTAAGGTCCCAAGAGAAATCAAATTCTTTCTGAGTTCAGGAACATACCAACAGTCAAATTTCCTGACAGTACCGTCATGCAATTTTATCTGCACTACCCCGCTCCCTTTTATGGCTAGAACCCCATCATCACCTAACTTCACTGTTCCATTCCACTCCTTAAAAGAAGTGAGTAGATCACGAGAGAACGTCATATGGTGAGAAGCACCGGTGTCCATAATCCAGGAATCAGCAGTACTAGCACTACACGCTGTCAGAACTTCACCAAAGTCCCCATCATCAGAACTGTCTTGTACCACAGCAGCACTGCTGCCACTGTTACTAGAATCAACTTTTATATTTCCCTTCTTTTGTGGACAATCCCTTTTAACGTGCTCTTTCTCCTTGCAAAGATAACACTTAACTTTGCTAGAGGATTTTGATTTTGAACGCGACCTCCCATTCCCGCTACCCCTCTCATGTGGTCTTCCCCTACCTGCAAACAGACCTGAACCAGAACCCTCTTCCAGAGAAACCTTTCTTTTCAATTCTTTGGACATAAGGGCATCTTTCACATCATTAACAGAAATTGTAGTTCTACCATATAGCATAGTATCTGCAAAATTCTCATATGAACCAGGTAGTGAACACAATAAAATTAGGGCTTGGTCTTCATCATCTACTTTAACCTCAACTCCTTGAAGATCAAGAATGATACGGTTAAAGGTATCAAGATGATCCTTTACCTGAGTACTTTCGGACATCCGGAGGGTGTAAAGACGTTGCTTCTGATATAGCCTGTTCGTGAGGGAGTTGTTTTGGTACTTCTCACACAGTTTATTCCATAACCCAAAAGCCGTTGTCTGATCTACAACCTCCCGTAACACCTCATCAGTAACTGACAACAAGATCGCGGAATGAGCCCTTGCCAAAATCTCCTTATTTACCTCCTCCTTCGTGTCTTTAGGAAACTTGTCTTCTCCCTCCAACGCAGCCGCACATCCTTGTTGAACCAGAAGTGCCCTCATCTTGACCTTCCAGAGCGTGAAGTCATTCGACCCATTAAACTTCTCCAGATCAAATTTATACGAGGACATTTTCAATCAATGGGATATGACTCTGATACCACTTGTTATGAGAAAGCGAGAAAGAAAGCAAATAAAGAACACAGAGGTTTTACGTGGTTCGGTGACGGTGTGTCAACCTACGTCCACGGGCAGGAACCGGAGAGATTTTATTATACTGATTCAGAGATTTACAATGTGTCATCCGACTAAGAACCATAGTTGTCTATTTATAAGCACCCCAAAACACCCTAAACCCTAAGCCTATTTGTTATTAATTAGGATAAGCCCAAAAGGAACCCTGCCAATTGAAACAGCCCTTTCGCTTTGGTTTAGGGTCGGATAGACCGCTAAATCCAAGTCACGTTTCAACAGTAAATGTTTTAAAAATGTTATACTTAATAATATGATCCCCTGATGATCATCAAAAACAAGAGCGAAAGGATCCTATAAAGTGGGTCACTCAAGGGCATAACATAATATCGACACGTGTCCATCAATTAATGCGCAGAGCAGACCAAGTACGAAGTTGTCAAGCTTCATTCTTCCACGAAACTCACCTTCATTCCACGAACTTGGACAAGTTGTACACCATTTCAACTAATTAAATCCAATATACTTTTTATATTTATATATAAAAATTGAGATTAAGTGCACCAAAACTTTAAATTTACACTATTCACCAATAATATTTCTTTTGTTATTTTCCCTTAAATACATCTATTAATGACTCAAGTTTAGTTACAACAACTCACAAAAATATTACTGCAAATCCCCTCGAAAGCAGAATTTACGAAACAGCCCCTATCAAAAATCGCCGCGAAACATTGTTGACATTTCCCGCCATTGCCACGTCACAAGAATGCCGACCAATCACGAGAGGCCACAGCCGACAAGGATGACGTCACCTGAGGTCATTGATGAAGTCATCAATGTCGAGCTCGCCGAACTCATCGGCGTAATTGTTGCCGGCGGAGGCGAAAGTTAACGCCCAGTCCACTTCCGACCCAGCGACGTCGTACAACCTCCCGTCGGACGGCGGCGCCGCCTCGTCGTCGTACCGCAGGACGGACGTCGGCGACAAGACAGCGTCGGAGAAGCCGTCGCTCTCCGCCGTAGTCACGGATTCCGTCGCCGCCGCGGCTCTCGGGAAGTTTGTGACGGCGTCGGGGCCTTTCAGTCTCACTGCGGCTCCGTCGTAAACGGCGGCGGCCTCCTCGGGCGTGTCGTAAGTACCCAGCCAGACCCGTTTTCCCCGGGTCGGGTCGCGAATCTCCGCCGCCCACCTCCCCCAGGGCCGCTGCCTCACGCCGCGGAATTTTTTCCGGCGGGGGGCCTCGTCGTCGGCGTCGGCCGCCGATTTCCACTGCCGTTTTCCGGCCGGAACCAGCCTCGCCGGCGGATCGTTGAACTTGATTTCTGCCACGTGTCTCCTGACTCGGCGCACGGCGCCGTCCGACTCGTCGCCGGACGAATCAGTGGCGTCGGCGTCGGCGATTATTATTCTGACGACTTTGCGGCGACGGCCGCCGGACCTCCGGCGGTCGGCGAGCTTATCTGTTGTGACGACATGCTCGGAGATTTTGACAAAGTTGTGTCCTAATTCTTCCATAAATGAATTAAGAAAAAAGATGAATAGAGAATTGGATGAAAATTTTGTGAGGATCAGTAAAGAGCAGAGCTGCTGCTGCTTCACTGAAGCTCACAAATGGCAGAATCAAATTAAATCGAGGCGTGAGAAAATGAGCAGACTTTAAAAAGAAAGGGGGGCAGAGTGAAGGGATGACTTTGACTTGTGTCTGGGGTCCACACTGCCACGTGGACTTGGCGGGAAACATCAGTCAACAGTGCAGCTGTTCCAATTTTTTATATATATGAAATACTTTGGACTTAGTTCTGTTCTGTCATATATCATGACATGGATATGTTTTTTCTATGTATAATTTTAAATAATGATGGAGGTGTGGAGAGTGGGGAACTTGTGCTGTGTGTACACTTGAATTAATTAATTTTGTAAATAAACATACGATGCGATGGTAGGCAATGATGACTGAACTTTGAAATACTGTGCATGGCTGCATGCTCTATATGTGTGTGATGACGTGGCAGTCACGATCAATTGCCAATGATACATAATATTTGCCAATTTGGTGTAGAGTTGAAAACTCCTCACTATATCTTTTCACCAAACCAGACCAATAATTACCTACTACTGCAATAAACTCAAACTTTGTTCAATCTGTTTATTGCATAATTTAACTCAACGATAAATAACCAATTGCTGGAATCGCTGTGACATTTCTTCCAAATAGAAAATATGGAAACATGAAAACTTTTCCATGTAAACGATATATACATATGTTTATGTAAGATAAATATATATATATATATGTAATATGTTTATATAAGATAAAAATAAAAAAAGAAAAGACCCCACTATAATAAAGTCAATAGGTAATGGATTGACCAATGACTTGAAGGACAAGCAAAGGAATCATTGGTCCACCACCACATGCTAGTACTATTAAACAATATTGCTTGAAAATCAAGGGATCATTATAATATATTCAAGGCCAGGCCAGGCCACCCTATAGTCATTTCCGACTTAATTTTTAATCCCCTAATTGGCAAAAAGATGACATCTAGATCCTAAGACACATATGTTACCTTGAAATGATCACATCCAAGTTCCAACAGTTATTTTTCACTGAAAATGTTATCTAAGAAATCTGATTCTATATTCAAAACAAAAAATCCAAACAACTGTTCAATCAAAAATAAAGTTTCAAAGAAACCACAGCGCTGTTTAATATTCAAAGTTTTTTATAATTCTTACTCTTAACATTTCCATAAATCAAAGCAATTCCAAAACATATATAAACGGGCCGGAAAAACATATCAACACATAAAGAAAGAATTCAAAGTGAAGGAAAGAAAGTAGAAACGTGTAACACATGTACACAAACATAAATTGCAAACAATCAAACAAAACCTGGAATGGATAATCACAGCTCAAAAGTAGAGCGCAAAAGATGCTGCTTAATTTTAACACACTGGCACAAAATGTCAGAATCAAACAGCTGCTAATAATAAGAGATGGATGGAAAATGACCACGTAACTAAGCATATATTTAACAGAGTCGACATTTAGACAAATATTTAGTGAAAGTTGCGCACCAGAATAAGGGAATCATCGCGTGGGGTTTCCTTACGAGTTTAATGTGGCAAGGGTGAGAAGCAGGAGATTATGAGTATGCTAGAAAACTCACTGGATCTCATCAAAATCACTTGTAGAACTCAAAGTCAGTGTCGGGCTTCTTGACATTGGATCTGTACCCCTTCTCGAAATCTTTTGGAAGTATAACGTACCTATTCTTTCTTACTGCGTGCATGCCTGCTTCTTGGCAAATAGCTGCAATCTGCAAGAGTTAAACCATCGATTGGCTTAAATTAATATTGCTTGCCTACTGCACAACAAGCACCAAATAACTAACTACACAAGTAGAAGAGACGGAACAACAACCAAACAAAAACACAGACCTCAGCTGCACTGATTTTATCAGGCCGAGAAACATAGTCCTCCAAATCTACCTCATCGCTCAAATTCATTTTAGCTGTGCACACCTGTATGCCACCAATTTTGATCAACAACCAAAGGGAAAAAAGAAAATGCAGAGAAGTATACAACAGATTCGCAGAGATATAAGCATCGATTTGCATTTGGCTTAGTAACTTCTTCACTTAATTGTTTGTGTTAATGCTTCTCCACTTCGCCCACAAAGGTAGTCCGTTTCTTCTTCAGGTTTATTTTTGAAGGTTAGACATATGTTGGCAGACTAAACAATAGCGGTTTATTGAGAAGGAATGTAACAAAGAGAAAAAATCTGCATCTTTGAAGGTTACCTGAAAGACGAGCCTCTTTTGACGCCTATCTGGCAAAGGAAACTCAATTTTACGGTCAAGCCTTCCTGGACGGAGAAGAGCTGGATCCAATGTATCAGCTCGGTTAGTTGCCATGATTACCTTCACGTTAACAGTCTGGTCAAATCCATCCATCTGCAAATACCAGGAGCATGAGAAAGTCCATAATTTTGAATCAGCACACATATTGAATAAAAGGAAAAACAAAAGAGAATGTAATCTTCATTTTCATGTTCATTTTGTTCCTCTTCAATTTGATGTGAAGCTCTCTGTACCTGATTCAACAGTTCCATGAGAATACGCTGAACCTCTCGATCGGCTCCAGTTTGAGCATCAAACCTAGCTGTAGCTATTGCATCAACCTCATCAATGAAAATGATAGCAGGTGCATTTTCTTTTGCAAGGCGAAAAACATCACGAACCATTCGAGGGCCCTGTAGATTCAAAACAATGACATGTGATCAGTTTACAGTATCATTCTCAATCTGACCTTGATCATAAATTTACCATTTGCCCAGACATTTCATCTCACATCCAGACAACATAAAAAACTAACAATGTGAAAGATAACAAAAATGTGTATATAATGTGTTATATGCACAAACACAAAAATAATACTAAATAAAGAAATAAACAAAATAAAACACTTTCCCTCCTATAATAACTAAGTAACAGAAAAACATCTATGGAAGCAACTTTGCAACAGCCAAATCACCACAAATTCCTTCGACCCATCCACAGGTAGGGTAAATTCCATGGCAATCTTATACAAAATATCGTAAACAAATTATGGCAACTGTAGCATGCAAGATCCGTAGAAAGCAATCACAGGGCATCAGTGATAAATCCATAAATATTAAAAATTTCCTCAACTTAGATCATAAGCAATGATGCACATAAATTGAACCAAATGATCTTACCTCTCCCAAGTACTTTTGAACAAATTCTGAGCCAACTACTCTGATGAAGGATGCAGTAGTGTGATGCGCAACAGCCTTTGCAAGCATGGTCTTCCCAGTGCCAGGTGGACCATAGAGCAACACACCACGTGGAGGATCTATACCAATCTGCTGGTACAATTCATGGTGTGTCAGAGGTAACTCCACAGCTTCACGAATTTCCTGCTTTTGAATGTCACACCCACCAATATCCTGATATTCACCAGGAAGACCAAAGTAATTCCCAAATATCGATTCAGTTACAAAAAGATAAATAATACAATTACCGAATGTAGAGAAAGAGATCAGCCGGGGAAAAAAACATTGAACAAATGGTATGGAATTTGTAATATTCAACAAATTATGCAGATAACAAATATTGAGAGCACCACTAATTACTGGAGTCTCTACTTAAAAGGATTTCAGTACAATAAAGAATTTATAGTAAGGTCACAACTGAACACTGAAGACAGAATAATTTAAGGCCGTTGTTGCAAATGGTCCACCACATGAGGCCTGTGCCACACCATGTCGCACAGCGCAGCACAGCACATGAAATGCACTATAACTTTTAATATATATATATAGATATGCACTACCACATATATAAAATTGAACAAGGTTGAACTTCAATATACACATTATAAAATATAGAATAAATGGAGAAAATAAAGCAGCATATATATAATCAGTAACAGAAACAGGAGGGAAGAGGGGCAGCAGCTGTAAGTGGGAGAAACTCAGAAGAAAGATAGAACAAAGCTTTCATATCCTTATATAACTAATAAAAAAAAATGAACCCAACTTAACAATAATAAATAACAAAAGATTAGGACCAGAGCCTTGCATCAGAGCAATGGTGCCTCAGGCGTGCACGTTTCCATAGGCAAATGACTGAGCCAGTTGCAACTTGCGCTGCGCCTCGCAATGTAGAACTGTTTAGTGGGTGGGGGGGGGGGGTGGAGATCCAAAAGCAAAGGCAATTGTTGCATAGTCTAATTTTTATAATTAGAAGAAACTTACACCCTGTTTGGTTGGGGTGATTTAGACTAAGGGTGTGTTAATTGTCACACTTCTCCAAATTTTTACTATTCATCAAATTTTTTCTCTCCCAAAAACATCAAATCAAATATTTATTTTTCATTTTTTATATTATACTAAAAATCAATTTTACATTCAAAATATCATATCAACACATTTATATCATACAACTATTCCAATTCAAAAGTTTTACCATTCAAATTCCAAATCAAATCCAAACCACCAAACAAACACACCCTAAATGATTTCAAATGATGCCCTTAAACCATGTGTTTCATCTCACAATACAATGGATGCCAAATCAATGAAGTCAACCGTGAATATCAAACCCATCCCTTTTAGCATTTTAAATACCCTTTAATCCAATGCCATTTCAAAGCTTCCTAATACCAAACAATGGATTTAAATTCAAAAGTATTTCAAATCTGAAATAATGCAAATCCATTCATTTGAAGTCCATCCTCACATCCAAATCAATCTTACAAAATGGGGCCTTAGATGTTTCCAAATTCTAGTCACTCCAACAATAGCATTTCTCAAAATTAATTTTACAGCAGAATATATCAAATAAACATGCATTTGATTGTTTATTTATTTATTTATTTTATCGATTATCATTTGGCATCTGCATGGAGCACCTCATTACCTTTCTTAAGAATCACCAAGAACAATACTTTGCTACACCATGACAGGCATGAAAAGGCAATGCTACTTTCCACCAATAAACAGGACACAGATACATATACAAGAGAAACATAACACCTACAATCTTCCCCCCAATTTCACATGGGTGATATACAGCCATAAACTACTTGCACCAGTACCAATTAAACATTCTTGACCAATTGGGTCCTATGAATTGGTCATTAAATAACAAAGTAACAAATCAATTTCAATTTGAACAGTAATCGAGTTCTATGGTTTGGTTTGGCTCAACAAAAGTCTCTGACAATCAAAACACTGCCTTAGGAGTGCTAAGTACAAGAAATAAAACAGAAGCATCTTTCTTATCATTTTACAAGTTAATGCAGTAAAGCAATGATAATGCTCATCCGGCCACACAATTATCAACTAAAATCCAAATATTTTCGAACGAAGCAACACAAATTCTACGGAACAGTCTCTCCTGAAGCGAAAGGAGTTTTAAAAGCCCTAACACAAAATACCCAAAACCAAAACGACAAAAAGGAAAGGTAAATAAGGCAAAGGGAGAAAGAAACTTTACATTGTAGTTAACGTCAGGCTTCTCCGATTGGCTGAGAAGGGAGATACTCGAGTCCGCTTCAGGGGGGAGTACGTCGACGAGGGCATTGGAGTGACGATGCAAAGCAACCGAGCCGGAGGGCTTGAGGAGCTCACGGTTTATGGTGCTGAGGATTCGCACGTAGTAATTGGATCCAGTAGTCGACCCGACGATGGCGTTGTTCTGATCGATCATCTCCATGAACTGACCGATAACGAGGGGCACAGACTGGATCCTTTTCACCTCCTCCTGCGCGCGCAGAAGCTCGCGCCGGAGGTTTTTCAGCTCGTCCTTGACGTACTCTTCCTGTATTTCGAAGAACTCGAGCTGCCGCTGCAGCGTCTTCAGACGGGAGTACAGGTCGTCCTCCGGATCCGTAGACGGCGAAGCGTCGGTTTCAGGTATCGGTCGCGTCGGCGGTGGTTGGGATTGAGATGGCTTAGGGTCGAGAACCATCGCGGTCGCCATGGCTGAATCAAGAATCCAGAGGTGTGATTGTGAATCGAGCTTTGCGAACGATTTGGAATTGAAATTAGAATTGGGAATTGGGAATTGGGAATTCTACAAATGGGGGAAAAATTGTGGCAAATACGACGTCGTAAAGTCGCAACATTGCCGACTTGCATTTCCCTCTACTGGGCCTCTCTGTAAATGACCAATGGGCCGTTACGTTACCTTAAGTTTCTTTTATTTTTATTTTTTAATTTACAATCACTACATAAGCCCAATAGAAAAAATCATATTAAATTCTCTAAAGTTTTTACATCCTCGTCTTATCTTTCCATCTCAACAAAAAATTACATTATATATTTAAATCAATATAATTTATTTTAAAATTTAATTTAAATAAAAATATATCAATATATATTATTTTATAGAGAATTTTTTTTATATAATACAATAATATAAAAAAGATAAATAAAATTATTATAAATAAATAAAAAAAAAAACTTGAGTCTTTTTGGCTATTCAAATAATTAATTGGGGTCGGCTCAGCGTATAGGTGCAGTCCAAGGACATTCGCGGCTCATCATACGGTCCAAAATAGCAGACGGACCTTATGACCCATCTAGCCCATCGTTCAAGGAGGTCCAACTCGACTTGGGCAAGAAGGCCACAAAAGTGGTTAGAAAGTTGTTGGAGTTATTGGAAAAAAAAGTGGAATGAAATCTTATTCAAATAAATTCAAAAAATTAACTATTTAAAGAAGATCAAGAGAGCAAAGAAGGGATGCCATTCACCATGTGATCTTCTTCTTCATTATTTTTTCTGCAATTTTTTCATTCTCGTAATTTTTCCAGATTTTTACAGTTTTCTTCAATTAATTCTAATTTAATTTTCAGCTTCGCTCTTGTAACTGATCGTGTAACTCGGCAACGGTTATGCGTGTGACGCGGGGCTCAAAGTTCATTGTTCCATCAAAGGAATGCCGATCACGTCGCATCCTGTGCCTATCAGGTAAGAAACGCCTATGGCCACAGTAGCAAAATTTGTGCCCATTCTTCAAATATGTAGAGTGCGTCCGTACAGCACAATTTGGACATGCATTTCCCCCGCGTGTTGGCCATCCAGATAACATAGCATAAGCTGAAAAATCACTAATGGTCCATAGTAAGGCAGCACACATTTGGAAGAACTCTTGACTTACTGCGTCAAATGTTCTCACGCCAATGTCCCACAATTCCTTCAACTCAGTCATAAGAGGCTGCAGAAACACATTGATCCGATCTCCCGGCCCTTTAGGACCGTCTATTATTGTAGAAAGGAGCAATGATGGTTGTTTCATACATAACCAAGGGGGTAAATTATAGATCACGAGCACCACTGGCCAAATGCTATAATTAACACTCATGTTACTGAAAGGATTGAAGCCATCGGACGCCAATCCCAATCGTACATTTCGAATGTCATCGGAAAATAATGGATTTCGAAGATCAAACCTTTTCCATGCCAAACTATCAGCCGGGTGCCGCAAAACGCCATCATCAACATGAGATTCAGCGTGCCACCGCATTGACGCTGCTGTTTTGGAGGACAAGAGCATTCGCTGTAAACGGGTAATTAATGGAAAATACCTCATCTTTTTTACAGACACGGTGGAGCTCCCTTCGACGAACCTCCTTCCATCGCATACAACACATGCCTGAGGATCTGCATCCTCTCCGGTGAACAACATACAATTGTTCATGCATGCGTCCATAGTCTTACAAGTAAATCCCAACTCATCTGTTATTTTGTTTGCCTCGTAGTAAGTCTTCGGCAACACCACATCATCGGGTAGAGCATCTCTCAACAAGGTTAGCAGAAGGTCAAATGATTTATTTGACCATTGACACAAAACCTTCAAATGCATAAGGCGTGCGATAAATGATAACCTACTCAATTTCTTAGACCCCGGTATTAGGTCCTTTTGCAGATTTTCTAACATGTCTTTCAATCCCTTCTTACCGCTCTCTAACCCATCTTCAGGATCCACGTCATTTATGTTTGCATGACTATTCTCTGGGTTTACATCATGTGAGAAAACACACTCGCGCAGAAGCAGGTCTAGTTCATCTTCCCGTTGCAAAGTCATCTCACCTTCAACCAAGTTACTAGTGGTCGTCTCACTCCCCGCTTCCCCATGCCAAGTCCACACCTTGTAAGAGGTGTCAAACCCGTACCTGATACAATGGAGCAAGATCTCCCTACGGCTATAACTCGTACGATTGCCACAAATCTTACAGGGGCAGTGCACAACGATAGCTTAAGAATTGGATCACTCCGTCAAAGTATCTATTGGAAGTGTATTCGGATTCTTCTATCCAAGTCCTATCCATCTAATAAACAATTTTGGAAAGAATCCAATCAAGCAGCCACCAATGTAGTTACGGGGTAATGACAACACATTATATGCTAGTTATGTATGTATTGCATGTGCGACAATAATTTGACTTATCTGTTTCAACTTTCAACTATATGTGGATATGAAGATGGCTATCCCTGTAAGAAAACTTGCATGTTCCTTAAACAATTCATAACTCATCAATATGTTCTACAATAAAACAACCGGTAATGTAATACAATGCATAGTGTGTAATGTATCCGCAAGCAAATAAGAAATATAGCCACTTCCGGGTTACGCCCCAAAAATATATACAACTGCAACAAACAGAAAAACACCGCCCTTGCATTAGACATGCGAAAAACACCGTTATGAAACAAATGTTAGTTAGTTGTTATGAACTAACTAATGAAATAAGACATATGCCTCCAATGGGGCCGAATTTAAAGTATCAAAAAATTACAGCCCCTTAAAACCAAAAATGATAGCAGAATCATGTTTGTTCGATCTCTCCAAAAGGAAACTTATCTCCAAACCCATATATCCTATAAGCTCTAAGCATAGTGATGTACCACTTTAATTCTCATATTGTTATGAAGTTCAATTAACACCTTTTAAGGCCATAAAATAAAAGAGGAGGAATGAATAACGTACATAATTTATTTGGCGGAAGTAGGCATAGGTACGAGTACGGTCCTCTACCCGTAGGTGATCTCCAAAGATAATATCGAACCCCTAAGCACCTTCACGCACAAAAATTTCTGCCACACCATTCCTATTGGAGAATCAGAAATACAGTGTGAATTCATAAGCAAATATATATTTACTACTTGCAGTAATCGCATAAGCTCAAAAGCAGAGGGCAAATAGATTGTAAAAAATAAAAGTCAAACTAAATTTCAAAACCTCCAAAATAATGGCAATGAAAGTTACAACACACTTTTTTGTAATTTCTTATCTTCAGAATTGATAAAATCATAGTGTTCTTTTATCACACTAATAAAGAAAGACACATTTTCATCCTGAGGTTGCTGGTTGAGCAGCAGGTTGATTTTGATTTTGATTTCTAAAACCCTTAGAAACATTGTTTTGAGCACTGTTTCTGTGCTGATAAGCTGAACTGACAGAACCAGATTTGACTAAAAATCTAATACTATTGTCATATATAGATTTCTTCGAGGGATCTGAAAGCTTTGAATTCGCTTCATAAATCAACTTAAAAGCACCCTCGGCTCCAGGAAATCGGTTCTTGTCGGGATGGAGACTGAGGGTCAACCGTCGATATTGTTTCTTGATCTTCGATTCATCAGCCAGCTTTTCAACTTGAAGGATTCCATACCAATCCTTTTCAGATCCTAATCTATTTTGAGTTGAACACTGAACATCACAGATGCTTAGCAACTGGCTAGTACTGTCAAGTCCTGGGTAAAGGCTTTGCGCTTTCAAAACAAACTTTGGAGCAGCTTCAAACTCATTCTCTTCCATCTTGTGCTGACCAATTGACCTTGCCCGTATGGCCTCATATTTGTTGCACTCCATTCTCTATATGAATATCGGGAAATTTCAAAGAGACAAGTAATAATGAATTCCTCTCTTTGCTTAAATCAGATGCCTCTGCAATAAGAAAACTGAAGTTCAAAAATCTGTTTGGACTTATGATTGTTTGGAGCAGTGCAATGCCATCCATAGCCAAGAACGTGGCAGTCTGTTGCATGCTAAATGCTGTGATAATCAATTAATCATCACCACCGACTTTCACCAACTTGAATATCAAGCTTGTAGTTTCCCAATTGCAGCTCAAGTGTTTGAAAGGGGTAAACAAATAATCTAGTGTTGGGAGTAGATTGAGACAAGAAAAACTACTTCTTAAACATATCTAAATAAGCTCTGCACTATGAACAAGCTAATACCACGTGCTTTCTTGCGCTCACTCCAATATCCTGTTCCCAGTTCTCCTGAATTCCATGTAGGTGGCCCTTCCCGACTACTGCTACCACTGAATTTTGCTCACGAGCAACTCTAAGTCAATTGATTGACATATATTTGTCGCGCCCGTGGATAATAGTTTCCATAATAGTTGGAAACTCCTTGCTTACTTCTTGAATAGTTGGCATGTGACCATCATCCATTTCCTTTAGCTTCTTATTGATCACTTCAGAACTTGGCGAGAAAAATGATTGAAACATAAAGGTGGAAAACAATTTTATCTTGTGCCTAAGAGGCATCTTCATCCATGTTCTATGTAATGTGTACTGAACAGGTCGATCATCAAGGACAACCTTAACGCCATACTTTTTTGCTTCTTCATACGCCATGTGAAACTCATCCCCAGGTTGAACTTCCAGTTTCGTAGCAAGCTTAAGAGCAAAAAAGTTGTAAATAATGGCAAAAAGTTTCCTGTTTCTCTTCCACATCTGCACCATTTCTCCAATTGTTGGAACCTTAAAAAGAGATGTACGAGCAGGGCATAACTCCAGGAAAACAACCTCTGGTTTTAAGAAATCAATCACTTCTTCAACTTCTTGGCAAGATTCCTTCGAAAGATGAGACGTTCCAACCAAATAAACATAACAGACGCCGCCATCCACAGTTGAATCACAACTGAGCATCACCACATTCTTCCAAAGCTTCGGGTCCAGAAACTCCCCCTCATCATCACTACTTTCAGACGAATCCTCGAAATTCTCAAAATCCTCGCCAAAAAGAGAGTCCCCTTCCTCTGCGTGCACAACACAATCAATCCCGGTAGGTGCCGTTACAGATTCAAACCCCATCACAAGGCGGCGAGAAGGACAAGAGTGCAGGAAAACAAATCCTGCTAATCCCCTCCAAAAATTCAAACATTACAGTAATTCCCTCCAAAAACTTGAGGAAGCCCTGATACCACTTCTTTTATACCTATTACATTTGTGTAATTAGGTACAAAATAATTTCAACCATAAAGATATCCAAACGCCACAAAATCGATTTTTACGGAGTCAATGAAAAACCTAGGTTTTAAATCCAAAAACCTACATTGCAAAAACTTAATCGAACAAATGAACATCAAGTAGATGAGTATTATACTATATAAAAAATCGTCAAACACACAAATACGTTGGGTTAACAAATCGTTTTAACTCACCCGTCGAATTTGCGCCCTAGAACGTAGCCCGAACGACCGCCTTGAAACCTAGGTGATGAAGGTCGCTAGCTTAGGGTGAATTTTGGGCTGCCTTCCACCAGCAACGGCGGCCGAAGGTGGAGGCGACGGCGGAGCGAGGGTGGAGGCAACGGAGGCTCGAGTCTGAGGCTTCTCTGTAAATTCGTCTAGGGAGAGAAACACTTAATAATTTGATTTGATTTATTGTATATGAAACGTTGGCTGAAGACACAAAAGCGCATTGACGCTTTTTAATTTTTAATTTTGTTTTTAGTAATAAGTTTTATATTGAATTTATTTTAATTAAAAAAAAACTTTCCTTAATAATTTATTAAGTAATGAAAAGCTTGTATTTAATTATTTTTTAAATTCTTTTTAGATTTAATTTTCAGAATTTTTTTAATTTATAATACTTATTTTTTTTGTTACGGTCGGTCCACGTAACAAATATATATAAGATAACTTTTTGTCAAAATTTTATTTGGTACGGATAAATTTTTGTAACAAAAGAAAAAAAGGGTTGACCACCGCCAGTTTTTTTTTAATTAATCGAGGATGCTGTGACTATTATCGAATTAAATAAAATTTAAAATAAATCACAAACATCATGAACATGCAATCTGAAGTACACATAAATAAAGATATGCATAGATCAATTACAGTAATGTAACAACCTGATTAAATTATAAATAAATAAATAAATAAAAGTTATGCAGAATTTATTTATTTGTTAATTTATTTACCCCTTTTGAAAATATAAAATTAAACAAATAAATGAACAAATTAAGGAATAATATGTGCAACCAAAAACTTTATCCATAAATCAGTCTGAAGTCGTGGCCCACTTCCTCAAGGTAATTAATTGCGTATACAAGTTAACACAAATATAAAGTGTACAGAAGACATTATAGAAGAATTTGAACATTCATCGAAACACAGGAAAATTTCAGAAATTTAATATTTTGCATAAATTAATTTCAAAATAAAATTATGCATAAATTAATTTTAAAATAAAATTCAAAAATTTCCTAAAAACAGAATGAAAATTTCTCAAATAACAGGATCAGATCTTGATCAAGAAAATATCACAAAACAATTGTTGAAAAAAAAAATTCCAAATAAAAAATTAAAGCGATTTTGATGAGACAAAAATTCAAAGAAAGGCAGATGTAAAAATTGCTCTGATACCGAATGTTAGAAATAATTTTCAAATCAAATATGTTAGCGGAATTTAAATAAACCTCCTACCATTGCTAAAATTTAAATCCGTCATTGAGATTTTCTTCTTCAAGTAATCAGTAGGTTGTAACCACTTTGGAACCCTAGGAAGATGTTGCCAAACCCTGGAACCCTAGGAAGATGTTGTCAAACCCTTACTCCCAAATAGCGATGGTGTATTCTAAATTTTTGAGAGTAGGTTTACTAACTCGTATGTGAATGTGAAAGTATTTATAATTAATAAGAAAAAACCGTCCATCACGATTTTTACATTCAATCCAAGCAACATAAATTTATTTCAGTTCCTTTAGAAGTAAGTGACATTACCAATCACATAAATAGACTAGAATTTTCAGATCACATTGTTTGAGTTTTCTATTAAGTTTTTCTAATTTTTTTCGTGGTTCTAGAGACGAAAAATAGGTTGCTTTGTATGTCTGCCACAATATATTAATGATCACTACTTGTTTATTGAATCTTGCTCACACATTTTAGGTTGAGCCTTTGTTGTCTTTTAAGTAATCCTAAAAAAACTCTTGGATCATCGCATTCTTTTTCGAAATAGAAATTCAAGGCAAACGACTCCCTTACTATCTAATGTTGACTGAAAGTGTTCTTAGAGCAAAACCATTTATCTATTCTACTTTCGTAAGCTTCTAAGACTTCCGATATATCTGTTAGATGCAAAATTTAAGATATGTAGCCTCTATAAATTGATTATGTTGATGTGTATTTTTCGACACAAAACTCATTCTGCCACTATTGTGGCACAATATATTCCCGATCAAAACTTGTTGGGCATGGTTGGAAAAAAATAATTAGTAATCAAATTTATTTATTTATTTATTTTTACTATTTTTACTTGTATCAACAATTATTTTTCTTTGTAAAATATCTTCATTAACTTGCTCTCATTTGCAGCTCGGAGGTTGGACTCTAAAGGAGAAAAGCCTGTTCGGTTGTGTTAAAATATATTTAAAAGCAATATATTATATTTATGGTAGTTATCTTATTTAAGAGATTCGTAGGATTCTTTTCTTATATAGACGACTTGTATATCACTACAAATATGTACGTATTATTATGATTGAAATAGAGAATTTCAGTTTATTATTCTAACATGGTATCATAGCCAAATTCTCTCCGGGTACCTCCATAACCAGTTATATCCCGTATATATTTTTATATTTTATTAATGTATTTGCTTTTATCCACGATCATGCTGTTATTTTCATGTCGTCTCCGTCTCAACTACACCGACAGAGTCTACTTTCGACTCTAACGCCGTTGAGAGTCCTATTTTCGACTCTAACTCTATTGAGAGCGAGGGAGTCCTGTTTCCGACTCTAGCTCTGCTGTGAGCGAGCGAGTCTTGTTTCTGACGCTAGCTCTATAGAGTGAGCGAGTCCTGTTTTCGGCTCTAGTTCCGTTGTGAGCGAGCGAGTCCTGTTTCCAATTCTAATGGTGTTGAGAGTTTTGCTTCTGACTCTGATCCAGTGGACAGTTACACCACTTTCCGTCAATCTTAAGGAATTCAAATTCGTACGTGAAAAATCTCGGCTATATCTTTTTCAATCACTTTTGACAAACTCAAGTTCGTTCCATCATATCTTGAGTTTGAGGAGGAGTATTAAAATATATTTAGAAGCAATATATTATATTTATGGTAGTTATTTTATTTAAGAGATTCATAGGATTCTTGTCTTATTTAGACGACTTGTATATCACTACAAATATGTACGTATTATTATGATTGAAATAAAGAATTTCAGTTTGTTATTCTAACAGATTGCTTGGTTTTCTTGGTATTGTCGAGGCTAGACATTGCATTCTAAGATTTGTATACAACAATAATTTATTAATTTTAAACTACTCTCATCTATTTTGGGCTTAGGAGTGTCCCAGTATTTCATAAAGTTAATGAAAGATGCATACATTCTTGATGTCATTGTTGCATCTAATAGATAACCTATAAAACTATATTTAATATTAGTTGTGCCTGTTGGTTTTAGTCTTGTATTATACCGGTAAAGTTTTGAAAATGTTGAAATATATAGAGATGGATATTTTAGTTGATATTATTTAGATGTGTTAGTTATCAAATAATCATATCTACTATATTAGGTTGTTATTATCTAGATATCTGACTGATTTGGTTGTTATTATTTAGCTTAATCCTTTTGTATAAGGTCTACAAATACACCTTAATTTTATTATCAATAAATCTTAAGAATTTCTCCTAGAAATTTTACTCGGTATGAGAGCTTATTTTTCTCCTGAAATAGACACAGTCTAGTAATTCACATTTTCTTCGAGTATATCGCGTAATGTACCCGGAGGGTTTTCTTTTAAATCTGAGATCCACTACCATTGTCATTGTATTCCTAATTTGGAAAACACCTGCCACCAAATATCATTATCAGACAGTGCATATAAGTTCCCAGTGTCGGTCAATGTCATCGGTCTTACAATTTCTTGAAAATGACGATAAACTTTCTACAGTTTCTTGTAAATGAGAATAAACTTTCTACAACCTCCTACAAACGAGGATAAACTTTCTCCAATATCCTAGAAACGACGTTAAACTTTCTCCATGAGTCTTAAACACGAGAATAAACTGTTTAACAAAAGAAAACTAGTTAAATTTGTTATGAACTATGTTATGACTTGATTCCTTCCCCGGATACGTATAAAACTTGGAATATAATTTCTAGTTTAGTCAATTATGTGTGAAAAAAAAGACAAAAAAAGCCCTTAAAAATTGTGCTTAAAAAAAAATTATTTGGACAAAAAAAAAATCTTGTCCCAAAAAAAAGAAAAACCTTCAAGAAAATATTGGCTAAAAAAAAGAGAAAAATGATAGCCATAAAAAATTGAATTTCAGTCCAAAAAAAATAAACTGACTTGATATTTCGTGACTTCTTTCGAGGGGGCATTTTGTTGGCATTAAAAATTAAATGCCTAAATTAAATTAAATATCATGTATTTTGGAAGAAAATAAAATTCCAATAAAATAAATATATGGTATTTAACTACGCACAAATGTTAATTTTTGTACAATAAATGTCAGCCATTAATGCAAAACTCAGCTTAAAATGGAAGATATCGTACAAATATTACGTACATAAATAGAGCCATAATAAATTTGACTGCAAAATATATTAATCTTGTCAACAAAGGAAGTATATAAATAAATATCTTCCGAAAAAGGAAATGATATAAAGATCTTGACAAGATGGGAAGGCGCGCTATCAAATCCTTCAAAAATGGAAAACAACATATGATGGAAAAAGAAATATTATAAAATCTTTCTACTAGCTAATCAGGACGCGCCATGTGGCATTATTAAAAAAGGAAGACGAGGCCACCCATCCCTAATAAATAGGGTCATGGCCAATTCATTTGACACACCGAAGTTACATCGAGGATTCAAGCAAATGGGTAAATCTCTAGACTCTCTATGTATTGTTCTTCATATTTTTCATGTCATTCGAGGTGTTCTTCGTCGAAAGTCACTAATTTAAACAAGCGATCCAATATTTGTTGACGACTTGATGAAGTTAACATTCTTCGTTGTATACCCAAGCCGGAGAAAGGATCAAAGCTCTAAAAGCCGATGAAGGATCCGTCAAAGCAAAGGAAGAGCCTCCCAAGTTTATTCCAAAGCTTCAAGGTGTTCGTCGCGTTCTTCGCCAAAAGTATCAACCAGGCCCTGTTCAAACCAAAAATCAAAGGGACATACCGACAAAAGTATTATGGAGCACCAAATCCACCCCCTAAAAGATCAAAGCCTCGGATCATCCAAAGAAGACATCAAATCCAAAGCAGATGATCCAATTCGCCTACACAGACACCAAAGCCCTTCAAAAGCCGGTAAAGCTAAACCAAAGATCAAATCCTCGGATCGTCCAAAGAAAATATCATATCCAAAGCCGATGATCAAAACCCCCATATGGAGACCAAAGCCCTCCAAAAGCCGGCAAAGCCAAAACAAATATCAAAACCTCGGATTGTCCAAAGAAGACATCAAATCCAAAGCCGACGATCAAATTGCCCACAAGGAGACCAAAACCCTCCAAACATCGGCAAAGCCAAACCAAAGATCAAAGCATCGGATCGTCCAAAGAAAACATCGAATCCAAAGCCGATGATCAAATCCCTCATATGGAGACCAAAGCCTTAAAAAATCGGCAAAGCCAAACCAAAGATCAAAGCCTCGGATCGTCCAAAGAAGACATCAAATGCAAAGCCGACGATCAAATCCCTGACACAAAGACCAAAACTCTCCAAAAGCCAGCAAAGACAAACCAAAGATCAAAGTCTCGGATCGTCAAAAGAAAACATAAAATCCAAAGCCGACGATCAAATCGCCCAGACGGAGACCAAAACCCTCCAAAAGCCGGCAAAGCCAACCCAAAGATCAAAGCCTCGGATCGTCTAAAGAAGACATCAAATCCAAAGCTGACGATCAAATCGCACACACGGAGACCAAAACTCTCCAAAAGCCGGTAAAGCCAAACCAAAGATCAAAGTCTCATATCGTCCAAAGAAGACATCAAATCCAAAGTCATAGATCAAATTGCCCGCATGGAGACCAAAGCCCTCCAAAACACGGCAAAGCAAAACAAAAGATCAAAGCCTTGGATCGTCCAAAGAAGACATCAAATCCAAAGTCGACAATCAAATCGCCCACAAGCAGACCAAAGCCCTCAAAAGTCTGCAAAGCCAAAGCAAAGATCAAAGCCTCGGATTGTCCAAAGAAGACACCAAATCCAAAGCCGACGATCAAATCGCCTACACGGAGACCAAAGCCCTTCAATATCCGGAAAATCCAAACCGAAGACCAAATCCCTTCGAATCAAAGGAGCCATTCAAATCTAATTTGGAAAACAAATCGATCCGGAAAGAGAAACAAATGACCTATTTAGAGAATATGACTCGTTTTAAATCCAAATTAAATATAATTTGTACAAAATTTTTGTTTATTAAAAATAACACAATTTTTTATCGACAATAATGCCTAGTTCAAATATGTCATAAATTAAATAAGTTAAAAACATTAGACATTTCTTTTTTTTTTTAAAGATAAATATATTATAAAAATTTGAAGTTTATATACAATGCTAAAAAACCATTTACGTCTGTCATACAATATTTCATTTAGTCTGTTGGACAGTTACAAGTTATAAACTAAAAAATATATACTTTTTATATACATATTTGACAAAAATTACTTACTTCATGCTACTTCAATAATTATAATCATTATGTATTTTTTTGATGAATTAAATTTCTATGTACTAACAAAAAATGTATATGATAGGGGTTATATGAATTCTCTTCCGAGGAAAACATGCAGTAAATATTTTACAACATATAACATACACAAGTTCGAATTATTATTATTATTATCATCATTATTATTAATGCAACATTGGCAACCAGGATGTGAGTAAAATGTCAATCAACAACCATTCAGGGCCAGTCCACATTAATACATGAATTGGAGGTTTATTTTTTCAATAACGGATTATAGAAATCGAGTTTTGTAGTCTTCTACCCTAAGACATTATTGCTTCTACTTTAAGAATAATAATATAATAGGTCCATGGAAATCACAAATTTATAATTTGTAAAAGTTAATCACTCAACTAAGTAATTAAATTCATTTTAGGATTATTATCAAATTAATGAAAAATATTATATTTTATTTAACAACTTCTTTCATTAATTTAGTGAATTGAAGATAAATGAACAAAATTTATATGGGCTAGTATAAGTAAGTTATATTTTATTTCAACTGAATTTTGGGACCAACTTTCAAATTTTAGGGAGTTTTTCATGTAGCCCAAAATAAATATAATTCACATAAAAAGCCTCTACCCAATTTTCAATTCAAATTTAGAAACCTAGATTAAATAAAATAATAAAAAAAAGTTGTGGGTTTTCTTTCAAGCCCAAAATTGATTTGCAAATACCTGAAACCCTAGCCTATATAAATTGGTTTACCTTCTTCTTTCACTTACTCAAATCTAATACAGATCTAAGGGTTTGCCGAAATTGTGAAGAAAAAACCAAGCGAGTATATCCTCTGAGGCACAGGTGAGAAGAAAATCATTGTTAATCGTATGGTGTACGATCAATATATGTATGAATAGATTTCTTTTTCACATATGCTTTATTTATTTTGGTTTTTTTAGAAAATTTACAAACAACATAATTTTTAAGATTTTTCTCTAAGAATTACATATTTTTCTTTTTTGTATCAATTGGAAGATTTTATAGTTAAACAAGCTTATAGTAGGATCGATCGAAGCACATAAAAGGCTGAAACTAACTTTGGTACAATAAATTTTTAAATTTTTTAAATTAAGAATCATGTTAAATCTATATATGATATCATATGCCTTAAGTAGAAATTGTATATGCGATATTTATATCCCCGTGTTTCTGCTTCCTCATTCCTTTTGTTTTTACCCTTAGAAATGAGTTTCGACAATGCATTTTTGTGGGGATCTTGTTCCCAAGTTTGATAGGATTTCGTTAGCCATAACTAATTCATCGCATTTCAGTTATGATGTATGATAATATAATATATCATAGTGTACATTATTGCAGATTACTATAGCAATGGAATCAGCTGGAGTTCCTTCAACATCGACGGAGTCTATGGTTTGTCTTGTTCCGGCCTGTCTTTGGTTGTTTTTACAAATAATCATGCCAAACATCTCTTACATAAGATTCTAATATTTTTCATAATGGTTTTCTGATATTTGGCGATGTAAAATATATGTGTAAGAAATTTATATACAACTATATATATTTCTCTAATTTTTCGTTTCGTATAACGTCAAACCATAATTATGTTGATTTGTTATTTGGAAATACATTTACCTATTTTGCCATTTATGTTAAGAAATGGTCAAATGTGTTACTATTAATATTTCGTATTGATACCTATGTCAAATTTCCATGTGTTGGAAAAGACTGGAGCCAATATTTCATCCGGAGACTCTTCTAGTTTTCCAATTTGGTGGCCGTATATGTCTTTGTACCCCACTCCAGTAATTGAACCTCTGGTATGTAATATTTTCCATATTGTGTTAAAAGAATCAGCTATCACTTTAAATTCTTTTTTCTATTTAATTTCGCTTATAGAATGTGTATGTTCACATTCAATAAAAATATTTGTCCTTTTATTATAAGACGAATAAGTATGTGTATCCAACATCCTATTGTTATTTTGGAGAAGAAATCAACAGGAAGTTAAGGAAACAATTTAATATTTAATAAAAATCAAATACTTGGATACGTATTAAACTTGTTATTCTAAATTATAGTACCTCGGTTGAATGAATTATATTGAAAGAAAGCTATCAAGGCATGTCTTATATTCAATGAAGCTACAATAATAGAATAAATTATTCTGTATACCTATTAGCACAAATTTTAACTTACCTTACATTCTAGGTACAAGTAGCTAGTGACAACATATAAAATTATATGATATTCAAAATGTAGAATGAAGTGCGTAGACTCAAAATCACTTCATTAAGAAGGTTAACACTAATGCGGATTCATCAATATTTTCTCCCATTAGTTTCTCTTCATTGTTTTTATATTTTTCTACAATATAGTCATTGACTAATTGTAAAAACCTCTCCTTTATGAATAGTATTTTCATCTATTTTTCTCTAAAAAGTCATCTACCTGATCATTCATTGAAAACACCAACGCTTACACATCTCTTTTATTCTAGTGTTACAATCATGATGTGGAATATTCCTTATAAATTATCAAAATTTATCAACAATAGAAATTAAATTACAGGAGCTACATTTATCCCCGGAGGAAAATACGCATGGTTTATCAACTACCATGATTGAAAAGATATGGAGAATATTCTTTATACTTCTCCAACGTAGTAAGCCCTTACATTGCTACATATTGGATATGCATGAGGTACGCAGGTTACAACATATGAAGTGTACAAGTACAAATTATTATTACTATTATTGTTGTTGTTGTCGTTGTTATTGTCGTTGTTATTATCATTGTCTAATGGTACAATAGGTTGAAAGAGGAAAATTTACTAGGTATCAATCAACAGTCCATGCACATGAAGTAACAACAAAGATTGTAGCCATGAGCGAACATATAACAACAATGCCCATGGTTCTAATATTTAACCACGTCCATCTTCAAAGAAGGATCATGTTAACCCTACATAAACGTTTAGGAAATTGGATAGTGGAGCAGCGCAACTCTAACAATTCAAAACGTAGGGACAAGGTAGCAAATTTATTGCACTTTTTTTCATTAAATTGACATATTATAATCAACATCATATTTACCCTTATAGTTGACTCTTGAAAAACTTATTGCAGCATTACATTCATACTATTATGGGGAAAAAGTTCCGATCAATAAATGAAGTCATGACATTTATATTATGCGATGTCTTTGTTGAAGATTTGAAGATGACATAAGGTAAACCATTAAAAACAGTTCAAAGATTTTGGCTTATCATTCACTTACTTGATTTTACGATGTAACACTTATTTTGTTTTATTTTTTCAGGTATTAGAATTTAAGAAGGTTGCCGATTTTGGGTTCACTATATCTATATAATTATTGTTAAATAACGCTAGCGGTTAAAAAAGGTTTAGGAGAATGTGAATTTTTGTATAACTTATTTACGTCATGTTAATGTTGTTTTATCAACATCTCCAATTAGTTCACATTATTATTGTTGCAATGTAAATTAACTAAATAAAATTTGTGTTTGTTTGGTCTGTTTCAATAATTATTTGAAGAGTGATATTACAACTTTGAAATAGTTTTCATTATTATGTATTTTAGTTGATCACATGAGAATCGATCAGGGAAATTTAATTCCAATAATATAAATTTTAAAACCATTCAAATGTTTTTTGTTTCATCTACATTATTCTTTTCTCCAAACTGTCTTATTTTTCCATATGCTTCTTTTCATTATGCAATTTCCACAGGTGGAAGTAAAGGACTGTAAAAATGATTAGTAACAAAAGAAACCTTAAGTTAATTCCCAAGAATTTTTGAAATTAAATAATTGAACATTTAGATTGAAAGATTACACAATCATCCAATTATAATGCATTATTGTTAAAAAAAAGTAGTATTCAATGATGAAACCACAACCAATATAAGTAATACATATCCATGAGCGCCTAATACATATCTACCTATTTGTTATGTTATGTTGTTGTTAACACAACAACATAGATGATTGGGCATCCATCGCAAAAAAAAATGATTCTCTGTTCCCAGAGGGCAAACCCTAATGGTCTCCAATGAGGAAAAAAGTTGGGTTATCCATTTCCCCATTTGGGATATGATGAAAAGAGATGGATGAAATGGTTACTAAAGCTAATTAAAACACAACTTATCGGCTGAATTTTTTGTCCCAAGTACAATGTAGCTATGCATCCATTTGATGAAACATTTTCAATTTCCTTCTTTAACGAAGAATCAGCAATATAACAAATTGATCTTGGCTTACATGTTTTAACATTTGGAAGATCACTATAATTTCTACTAAATAGTCTAATGCTATTAAAATGGAGTTTAAAAAAATAAAATTAAAAAATACCCACTATTACCTTCAATACAATATGGCCTTAACTTACCAAGAACTAAGTTGGAAATATTAATCTTAAAAAATCCTAGGAATGAAGTTATCCAATCAATGAATGTGGCTAGAGGAAATTTGGTTTGTTGAATGTTAAAGATTACATGAAAAAAGTTGATTAAGAAAGCAAAAGGGAATTTTGTGTCTGCGAATTTTAGAATTTAACATTCTCATAATGTGAATTTGAATAAGTAGAGTATCCATGGAAGAAAGCAAAAGTGAAGATTTCACACAAATATTGCCGTTCCATGAAGAAACCTTAATCAATATTAAGTTTTTACACTATTCGGATATTTTGATATGTACAACATTGCCAGACCTATGGAGCCCAATTAGCTTGTAGGCTTTAATATCCACCGTACGATCTAAGGATTTGATCTAAACCATCCATCACTTCTATATATTTGTACCTATAGAGTAATTGTAGAGTTAGTGTTGCAATATCTTTCTCTTTAGGTAAGAAAATTTCTCTCTATATTTTGCGTTTGTATTTTGCAGTGATATTCTAGTTGTTTTTAATGAATGTTGTATTACGGTTTTTTTGTGATCTTGCGGTTGTTTCAGGGAAAAAGTTTGTGAAGGTATTTCAGTGATATTATGACCCCATTCTGGTGAATCCTTTATTAAAGGTTTCCGGGATGTGGTTGTTTCCAGGAAACAGTTTGTGAGAAGTTTTTTGAGTATTTTTTATACGGCTTATATATTGGGACTCTAGCCATTAATGAAATAAGTGTTTTTTTGTTTACCTTGAACTCGGAAATTAATTTAAGCTAATAAAAAAAATGTATGGCTTTATAAACCAATATACCTTTCCTTCACCTATTCTAACCAAGAAATAAAGATCTTGATCTAATAATATTTATTGACATCTACATAGGTGAATAAGTCTATGATATATTGTTGTGCTACTTGATGCTTTGCACTTAAAATTTCTATCAAATATACCGTGATGCAACACCAAATTGAGGAGATTTCTCTTATTTGTTTCTACTAAGCTGCCCATCTCATAGAGTAAATTCATTTTTAATCTATCTACGTAGTGCTGATATGATATTGTATTATAATTAGTTCCTTATAACAATTTTGAGTGCAAACAATGAAGTGTGTTGATTATTCCAAAGCAAAGGATAGACCAAAAGAGTTTGGTAACATATGTATCACCACCAAGTGGATGCAGGTATCAAATAATTCATTGATATACCAATGCTTAGAAGTGAAATACAAGGAGGTGAGGCAAATGTCCTTTACTTGTTCATTCATTTGATTGATTGTTACAACTAGTGTTTCTATCAAGAATTTCTTGGATCCTGATTGAGAAAGGGTTTTGGTTTATTTTTGTGTAACAATACTCTTAAATAACCAAGTTTTCCTTGCTTTGCAGTGAGAAGAACCACCTTTGTCTGTTTTGCGTGTTCAGTACCCCAAATGGCCCCATCATGGAGTTCCAAAAAACACTCTTGTAGTGCAGACTGTGTAAGAATAGGAGGAAACACTAGATTTGTATCATTTTTGAGTTAAGATGACAGGCTTGCAATCATCCATGATTTTCATAATTCAATAAAAACAATTAGATAAAATTCATAATTTTTAATTAGAACTTACTGTGAAATGTCCAAGAGCATAAGTGGAATATTAGATATGGCAGACATCGTTAAGATGTGATATTTACAATGTTATTCTGCGAAATTGAGGTTGTCAACAATTTATAGTCGGAGTTGATGTTTGTGTATTGACTGACTTAAACTAATAGAAACATGAGAGTTTCATCAACTTTATATGTGTTTCTTTTGAAAGCGTATTTATGATGAAGTTGATAGGGAAAAATCTTAGCTAGGTTAAAGACATAATTTACATGTTTGAGATGTCCTTTGATGTCCAATTACTTCCGTCATGGCATACTAAAGAATTTTAATATTTCGTCATTTGATCGGCATTAATCTGTTGCGTGAAACATGACTTGGAACAAAATATACCTTATTATTGCAGGTTTACCTGAGTCAAATGAATATATATTTGTTGAGGCTAATGGTGGTTGAATCAACAGAGTACATCGGTATATCTTCGTGGATAACAATGTTTATGTATAATGTTAAAAATGTGATTTTTTTATGTTTGTGAGTTATGGAAATGCACTATCTCACTGATTTTGATGTTTCTAGATATGTAATGTTGTAGCTGTGGCAGACTACCTCAATGCAACCCTCATTATCCAAAACTTTCACTTTTACAAGGTTAGTCTTATTATTGCATGGCTAAGAGATATATTTGTGAGCAAATTTTTACTTACTCTAGTCGTTGTTTACTGTAACAAAGATGAAAATTTATGTGCACGCATGCGAATGTTGGTGCTGATATATTCTAACATGATAGTGAAGGCAAACATCAATTATGTTGGGTTCAAAAGGCATCAAACTTAGAGATTTTGGCTCTTGGTTCTGTATTTAATATTTTATTGGTTTACTTATATAGTTTGGATTCACTAGCCATAGACTCAATAAAATTAATAATTTTAGATTATATTATTTTAACTAGACGATTGATGATGTAATTTATCAATAACTTTAACCACCACACTGAACTTTCTCTATTGTATGGTCATTATTTGACTACCGATAAAAAATTGTGTGGCTTAGTTTTGGTTTTCTTATGTATTTCCATTTTAAACTAGTATTATTGTTTCCACTTATGTTTCTAAAATGCTATTCTAGATGTACATGTTACATGTTTGGTTCATCCTGAAATTCACATTATATCATTGAGGGTATGTTTGATTAGTCTAACCTAGTTTGACAGTTCGAAGGCATACATCATAAAATTCAGCAAGCATCTCTTTAAATTATTCTTTCATTACACTCGCTACTTTCTATAGCTTACTTTCTCTATAATATACAAATATATGTTTTTTATCCATTCTCCATTTTCTTCCTTTGATTGACATGATGACTGATAGTTATTTCAATCAATTCTATTTCCATCTATGTAGTGATGTTTTTGTAGTATGATTTTATGGTGCAATAGGTACCAATAATTAATCACTAAATAATTATTTATGATTTTGTATTTACTTTAGCTAACTATCTTCCATGAGTTTAAGGTGGTGATATGTAATGTTCCATTTCAGTGATATTTAAGTATAATGTATGAGTTGAGTTATAAATAAATATTTTTTATTCATCCATGTTGTTTAGAGATATCGTATTTCATCATAACTACCTCTGGTTTTACGTTTTTATATAGATGATACCCTAGCCATTGTCAAGGGATTTGCTACCGCTGTTACGGTCCCAGAGACCGCACTTATTCTTCCAAGTAATGCCGGACGAAGATCCTCGATGAGGTACTTAACGAAGATAACATCAAGTGCACTCATAAGGATGTACATTTTTTTTAAATGTTTACTCTTTTTGGAATTAAATTACTTTAGTTGCTTATATAATTCATATATATCATTGGAAACACATTGCAGTAGGTTTGGTGCCTCTGATTGCTTCCTCTGTGATTTTTCACTCGATGAGCTTGGTCGTTCATAATTGTATTTGTTAGTTGACCTTAGGATAGTACTGCAGTTTGATACCATATCTATTTATTCACGTATTACTTTTGGGTTTGGGGATCAAGTGTTAGCAAGTTGTTAGTTGGTTGTTATGGTGTATGGCATGGTAATTTGTGGAGATGCTTTAAAGCACTCTTGACGCCTAGTATTCTATTTTTGACATGAATACAAATGTTGTTGGATTGATGTCGTTCTGTAGGTATGAACAAGGATTTCAGATTAATTATAATAAATTATGTTCTAAATTATTTGTGATGCATATTGATCCATAACAAATATTTTAACAATTGGATTTTATTTGTGGCGACAAAATCCTTATTTGAGGCATGTATACCTTCTTTAGGGATTTTTAGTTACAAACAGTAGCTGGTACAAAAATTATTTTACGCTTGCATTATTTTTGTATCGAATTTTTGGTTGCGGACAAATTTCGTAACAAACAGCTCTCTGACAGGACACTACTTTTGTAACACATTTTTGTTACAAAAAAATATTGCAACAAAAAGTTTTCTGACAAGATTCCATATTTGTATCGCATTTTTTGTTCAGAAAATATGTTGTAACAAATAGTTCTCTGACAGGATTTAACTTTTGTTCCAAATTTTTTGTTACGGATATATGTTGTTCTAAAAACATGACCGATGCTTTTGTTACTACTACCAAAAAAATGGCTATTTGTAGCGGCTTTAAAACCGCTACAAATGGCCATCTTTCATTATAAAAAACTAGTTGTAATGATTTTGTACCGGATTTTGGCCGGTGCATATACTCAAGTTATAAAAAGTCTATGTACCGACATTTTCCGTAACAAAAAGTGGACAGTCAACGCGCGTGGAAAATCTTTTTGTAACGGTTTTTGTAACGCTAACAATGTTTTTTGATTTATTTGTAGCGGATGTTTCTCGTAATAAAAGAGTCGTTACAATAAATGTTCATGAATTTGTAATGGCTTTTGTTACGGTATAATTGTTGTTACAATAAACTGATTGTCAGAAAAATATTTTAAACGACATTCATAATTTTTTGTACCGGTATTTGTAACGAACACAATTTCGCAACAAAAAGTGTATCCTTATTTTTTTAGTAATAACAAAAAAAATAGTATCGGAACCGAAAAACATAACTAGTTCGCAATACAACCATTAGTAGCACCAAGTACACACTATCTAGGAACATAACTAGTTCGCAATACAACCAACATATACAATCCAAAGGCAAAGCATAACAACAAACACACAAAAGGAAGCAACATATGCAAGTTCAACCTACGTAAAGGACTTAGTCAGTATCAATCCACAAACAAAAGCTATCATCATAGAATTACATGCAACGCTGCATCGCCCCATGCAGCATCAAAGTGAACATACACGGCAGTTATGTGTGACGAACGAGCTGCCAACATTGTGAAAAATTATATAAGAATTTACTTACGAGTTGGTTAAGTTATAATCTAATAGAAATTTATAAAAATGGTTACGTGCATCCTTGAATGTCCAGTCGATTGGCTCGACGTGGACAAACTCACAGAGTGTTTGCACTTCAGATATCGTTCGTGAATTAGCGTAGCCTCCGGAACGGTATCAGCCGTGAAAAGAACCTTTACTATATTAATGGTATAACCTACGTACATATAAAGAAAACATGTGCATATCATCGAAAACAAAATGCAACTCACAAAATTTCATTATCTTAAAGCGAATGATCGATACTGCAGTATTAATAAATATACAAAACAATCATGAGCTAAGATAGTCACATGTGGCTTCAAATGCACACCGAGAAAGTATATAAAACTATATATTATCCAGAAGAAATGCTTGCAAGTTTCTAGATTTCCTACATGAATCGAAAACATAACTTATAATTGTTTTTTACAAAATTGATGGAATGAATAAGAGAATAGGCAAGGACAATAGAAAAACAATGCAGCAAAATTATTCTCACTTAGAAGTTATGACCTCTCTTTATTACCAAACCCAAAAGTGTTGGCATAAAACAGTTAACCAAAGGTAGTATCCTACCGAACTGGAGCCCTTGACTATAATAAATATAGGAGAAACCACTCAGACACATTCATTAGCTGAATAATCCAACTATAAAACAAAATCGCAATACTAAATAATAGACAAGGAAATTATAATTCTACCTTGTTTTAGCATATTATAGATGGACACAATATCACCAGCAGCAGCAAATGCCTTATCTCTCTACCTTTCAAAATTTTCCAACCATATGTTAGGCGAAAACAAGAAAATAAAATACAAGTGACTTGGGAGGTAAAAAGACAATCTTCAAAACTACAAACCCAACATCCGGGTTATCTTCCCAACTTTTGTACAACGTCTGAAGCCTGTCTACCTGTGATGCACATAGATTTAAATATCATGTACTCATGAGAGCGAAGTATTGAATTGATTATTAAGTAGCATTTCAGTATTCAAGATATCTCAAACTTTACCGTAAGCAAATAGATTTTATTTTTTGATAATTAAAAGAAAGTAATTTATAGACATAGTCAAGCCAAGGTTTTAGCTTAAAAAATACGGAACCATTTCTCTAACTATTGATGTAGTTACTCAGCTTGATTCTTGAGGATATACATGATGTTATTCTCCAATGCATTCAACTTAGTTCTGAGCAATATAAATTGATTATGCTTAAATGCAAGACAAACATGTTCAAACAATACAGGTAAATACCAAGCCCCATAAATTTTGGGCAGACAAATTCCCACAAACAAAATAATGCAAAAGCAAACAATTCATTTTCGAGAATCAAAAAATAAATCCATGTAGTAGATTGGATTTTCATAAATCAACCAACAAACTTAAAGACCCACAAATTGGAAATAGATGCATGTAGCTCCTTTCACTTGGCCTAGCTCATGATATAAAAACAAGTCATTATAATGATTACCCATTACACTCAATGTGAAGAAACTTATGAACTCATCAACACAAGCAATCCATAAAGTTAGTGAACAATTTCTATTGTACAAACCAATTGACAAATAATAAGTTGGACTTCAGCTAGCGATAAGTTCAGACATGGCTACTGCAACAAATGAAGAAAAGTCAATCTCCACAACTGAATTGTCAAAACACAAGCTTGATTACACTTTTGCTTTACTACCTATATGAAAGTAATATTTCCTAGTGATTTTGATAATTTTCATACCTGAAATAATGTCAATTATAGCCATACTTCCGTGACTAATCAAATCTGCAAGAAAAATTATGCTAGGAGTAATCCAGTATTGATGTCTGCATCATTGTAGAAATCCAGTAATGATTATAGAATAAATCTGTTGGTAGATAACAATGCATAATTGACAGGAGTAAAAGATCACTTTTTAATTGAATTTGTTGATACATCATAAGAAAACAATCGAGGCAGTGCTTGCTTGCTTAGCAGAAACGTCTCCCTATATACCAGACGAACAGAGGCATAGCATTATGTATTACAAGACATAGAGAGAGTTTAGAGAAAATAACAAAGAAATAATGTTTAAAAAGTGAAATTTTAGTTAATAATAGCTAATTCATAAACGATAACATTCTACACCACAAATCCACATTTCCAAAGAGATAAACAACGAAAACAAATTAAATCTGGAATAAAGTAAAATAAATTCATGAGTGGCACTTCAATCAAAATTGCTCAAGTTCAGCCCAAATTCCTGTTCCAAATTAGATACAATCCTCATATACATAACCCATATCATATGCAAGGATAAACAAATAAAATGAAGAATATGAGTCATGAAATTCATAATTCATTACAAAACCTAACTGTATATGTCACAATATTATCACCAACTGGGGGTTTACCCAGTGCGCACTTTCGGGTAGCGGCTGCGGGTTCTCACGTCATCCAAAAAAAAATAGATAATCTCACACTTGTAATAAAAATAACAAAAAAAGTAATGAAAAATGCATTCAAATCATCATATTAAAAATAAACCAAATTAACAATCATTACCATATAACTATCATAGAATAAGTTCTTTATTTTTTGCAGTAACAAAACAACTCACAATCGTAACCATAGAAACATCCACAATGCAAATCCAAAAGTAAATCAATGACAATAACTATTCTATAATTAATAGCTATTCATTACTCATAGAAAAAATATCCACTAACCTATTATATAATTAATAGCTAACACAATGCATCAAACTAAGATCTACAAAATCAAATAAATACGAAAGTTGGAAAACCATCACAAGTAACCAATAAACTCGTGAACATATAATATTAATTAAAATTCAACAAAAAAACAACACAGGAATACCAACCAAACTAAAAAATAATAATAATCATACTTTAATTTATATCAACACCAAAATACACGTGCAAACCAACAAGTTATTCAAGACATATATTCATATAACCTAAATATTAAAATTATTTATCGATAACTTTGGACCAAATCTAACTTAACAATATTAATATCAACCATAACAAGAAGAAAAATAAAACAACAAAATTCGAAGAAAATGTCTCGTTTTCAGAACTTTTCACTTTCTTGGGACGGATACTAGAAACTGCGATCGATTTTTTCTCATTATACCTCACATGATATTTTCAATATTAATAAGGTTGATAACAAAACAAGAAATGGTGTGCACTAAATGACAACACCACATATCATATGCAAACTTGAAACTAGAACCTTTTGTTTGGAATTGTGAAGCCTTGTCAGTTTTGTCTGCTATTGTAACAGCCTTGTTATTCTCGGGTTTCACAATATATCCAGATTGAACCGAAGAAAATCAAGAATCCAAACCATAATCATAAAACAAGCAATGGTGTTCTATTCTAGATTACCACATAACAGATGCAGACTTAAAACTAGAACCTTTTGCTCGGAATTACAAAGCCTTATTATTGTTACTCTCTAGTTTGATAGCATCTCTATATTGAATGGAAGAAAATTAAGAATTCCAAACATTGCGACAAAAATTCAAAATGATCATAAACTTGTAAAAGTTAAATTTGAAACAAGAAAAGAACACAATATTCATCTATCAACTAATGTGTTATATGGTGAGGCAAGAAAGACACATAAAAGATGCAACAATTCGAAAAAACACACATTCATTGTCTTTTGTTCGAAGCTGCTCAAGATGAGCACCATACATGGCATTTTTAACTAGAATCTTTCTACCTCCAATAGCTGAACAATTCTTCAACTCAATGGAATGATTAGTATCTTCAATGGCAACACTTACAATTGAGAATCAATATAAAACCTAGTACCACTCACAAAATCCAGAAAAAAATTAAAAAAAACAAATTTTACTTACAATTGAACATAGCCAAACCTTCGATGCTCACTTGATCCTAATATAAAACAAACAAAGGCCGACCAAAAATAAAAGCTTAGTCTAGACAAAATATTTTTGCTACAAGAAATAAAACAATCATGATTTTTTGACTTCAAAACAAGCAATTTTTAAATCAATCCCATCCTATATAAGTATTATTCTTTTGGTTGTCCACAACATTTAAAATCATAAACTTGTTTCAGGTGATCCTCAAATTTAACATGGGCACTAGATTAGCCTACCTTTTTTGGTAACCATAAAGCATCTTCTTATTTGTCCGATCTTACTGAAAGTTTCTTCCATCTAAATAAACATCGACAAAAAATAATAAGACAAAAAAATAAATAAATCCAAACTCATGGAAAGATCTAGGATTTGCATTTCAGGACGGTAGGCAGCGGCGACTCGCTATCGACAGGTCGAGGAAGACGACGGCGGAGCGCGATTAACAGCCGACGAAGGTGGAGATGACGTGCCGTTCAAGGGTGCAGGGAGGAGAAATTAAAGGAAGGTGAAGGAGGACGTATGGGAAGGAGAAGAAGAAAAGGAAACAAAAAAAAGAAGAAGAAGAAGAAGAAGAAGAACGAAAGACGAAGAAGAACGAAGAGGACAAAGAAGAAAAGGGAATAAGAAGAACAGAGAAAACAAAAAAGAAGATATGAACTGGGCGGCGCATTAGGGTTTATTTTAAAATGTTTTAGTTTTAATTTTAATTTTAATTTTTATTGTATAGAATAGTTTCAATTTTAAATAAATATATATTTTTTAATTTCAATTTGTATATATTAATATATAAATATTATGTGTATATATATATGATATATATATGTGATATATTAATTTAGATTATTTTAGATTTAGTATGAAATTTAAAATTAAAAGTATTGTAATTGTAACGAAAAAAATACCGCAACAAAAGAAAAATGTTGACCAAATCGAAAAAACTATTTGTTACGAAAATATCCGAAACAAAAAATAGCTTTTGTAACAAAAAAGTTGTAGCGGAAGAGATTTCGCTACAAATGGTCATTTTTTTGGGTAGTGTACGTACAAATTAAACAACAAATACAATTAACACGTGTTTATTTTGAGGGTTGACCACCACTTATTTGTTACGGAATTTTTCGCAACATAGACTTTTTGTAGTGAGATTTTCGTAGCGGTCAAAATCCACAACAAAGTTGACACAAAAGACTATTTTGCACAAAAATTGAATTTTTGTTACGGATTTTTTACCGTTACAAACAGTCATTTTTTTTGTAGTGTCTACAAGAGTGCTTGGGTGCTTGCAAGGAGGTGAGGAGAAAGGTACATGAATTTCGTCTTTCTGCCACCACAAGGGAAAAGATATCTAATTAGTATTCATTTGGAGCATGAGAAAGACTGATAGACCACATGCTTTTATTTTATTTTTTTATCGGCGTTTAAAAAAAATTCTTGAAATGAAGGTGTGTTGAAGCTTAAGCTTTTTCGAAAAAAGTTACAGATTTATTTTTGTGACAATTGAAAAACCATATAGTAGAAAGTTGAGCTGAAAAATCCAAAGGATCTAAGGTGTGAGGGATTCATTGTCGTTTTTTTTTTTTTTGTTACAAAATCTAGAAAGTGTATTAAAATCTATATTGGGATCCTTTGCCATAATATATATTTTTTTTACTTTTTTTTTCAGTCGTTCAAATTTTTGTTAATTATTTTTTAAACTCAAGCTTGAACCTTATTATAGCTATTTTATTTTACTACTCACATAACTATGTTGTTCTTCTAGATATTAGATTTTAGCCTACTTACCATATATATATATATCAATATATCAATAAATACATATAAAAATTGCACCTACCCCATTTCCGATAATGATTTTGTAATTATGAACTAATTGAGAACATAATTAAGAGGACATCAATTATTAAATAAGAGTCTTTTATTCAAATTTGTCAAAAGTATAATATTTTTTATAATCACATTTTACGGTTGATTCAAGTATTGATATGCTTCAATACTCGCAATTTTTTCTCTGAAGGGATAATAACATGTTGTGATCTTAGCTTTAATGTTAAACATATGGTTTCACACAAAAATCCTCTATAGCCAATAAAGGGAAAATATAAGCGCTAATTTTGAACCCATGAATCTAAAATAATTTATGTTAGTAATTGTAGGCATTAAAAATTAAATGCCTAAAGTAAATTAAATATCATGTATTTTGGAAGAAAATAAAATTCTAATAAAATAAATATATGGTATTTAACTATGCACATATGTTAATTTTTGTACAATAAATGTCAACCATTAATGAAAAAAACTGCTTAAAATAGAAGATATCGTACAAATATGACATTGATAAATAGAGCCATAATAAATTTGACAGCAAAATAAATTAATCTTGTCAACAAATGAAGTATATAAAATAATATCTCTGAAAAAGAAAATGATATAAAGATCTTAACAAGATAGGAAGGCGCGCAATCAAATCCTTCAAAAGTGGAAAACGACATCTGATGGAAAATGAGAGATTATAAAATCTCTTTTGGCCAATCAAGACACGCCATGTGGCATCATTCAAAAAAGAAGCCGAGGTCACCACTCCCCTATAAATAGGAGTCATGGCCAATTCATTTTACACACCAAAGTTAAACCGAGGATTCAAGCAAAGGGGTAAATCTCTAAACTCTCTATGTATTGTTTTTTATATTATTCGCATTCTTCGAGGTGTTCTTCGCCGAAAGTCACTGATTTGGACAAATAATCCAGTATTGGTTGACGATTCGATGAAGTTAACATTCTTCGTCATATGCTCAAGCGGGAGGAATGATCAAAACTCCAAAAGAATTGAAGGATCCATCAAAGCCAAGCAAGAGCCTACCAAGTTCATTCCAAAGCTTCAAGGTGTTCGTCGCATTCTTCGTCAAAAGCATCAACCAGGCCCTCTTTGATCCAAAAGTCAAAGGGACACGCCACCAAAAGTGTTATGGAGCACCAAATTCACCTCCTCAAAGATCAAAGCCTCAGATCGTCCAAAGAAGCCATAAAATCCAAAGCCGAGAATCAAATTCGCCTACACGGAGACTAAAGTCCTTCAAAAGCCGGAAAATCCAAACCAAAGATCAAACCCTCGTATCGTCCAAAGAAGACATCAAATCCAAAGTCGAAGATCGAATCCCCCATATGGAGACCAAAGCCCTCCAAAAGTCGGCAAAGCCAAACCAAATATCAAAGCCTTGGATCGTCCAAAGAAGACATCAAATCCAAAGTCGACGATCAAATTGCCCACACAGAGACCAAAGCCCTCCAAACGCCAGCAAAGCCAAACCAAATATCAAAGCTTAGGATCGTCCAAAGAAGACATCAAATCCAAAGCCGACGATCAAATCGCCCACACGGAGACCAAAGCCCTCCAAAAGCCGGCAAAACCAATCCAAAGATAAAAGCCTCGGATCGTTCAAAGAAGACATCAAATGCAAAGCCGACGCTCAAATCGCCGACACAGAGACCAAAAGTCTCCAAAAGCCGGCAAAGCCAAACCAAAGATCAAAGTCTCGGATAGTCCAAAGAAGACATCAAATCCAAAGTCAAGAATCCAATCGCCCTCACGGAGACCAAAACCCTCCAAAACTTGGCAAAGCCAAACCAAATATCAAAGCCTCGGATCGTCCAAAGAAGACACCAAATGCAAAGTTGACGATCAAATCACCTACACATAGACCAAATCCCTTTGGATCAAAGAAGCCATTTAAATGTAATTTGGAAAAAAATTTGACCCAGAAAGAGAATCAAAGAACCCATTTAGGTTATAGGACCCACTTTAAATCCAAATTAAATATAATTTGTACAAATTTTGTGTTTATTTAAAATAACACAATTTTTTGTCGACATATTTTTGGCACGCCGAATGGGACCTTTCTACCTTTCATCTCTCTTTCCGATGAACTTTCAACAACCAATGGTTTTCTACAAGATCAAGACGTCCAACAGTGTGTCGAAAGCTGTTGTTCAAGCCGCCGCCGCCAAAGGAGTCGTTGCATCCACCGCATCGAAAAACTCAAGTGCTTTAACAAATGTTGGAATGAAAACAAGAAGCATGACTAAAAGAGCATTGTCGTTCTTTGAAGACACTCATCCAAAAATCACAGAGCAAAGTTCACCCTATGAAGAAGATGACGACTTCAAGAGTGCTGCCGCATCGTTCACCCCTCAACAAACTGCAAGTCATTCAACCGCATCAAGCTCTGCTCCGGTGATGACTACCAACGTTTCAAATATTGAGGACCCAAAGACCGCGGATCAAAGTCTGCTCTGCAAGGAAGATCAAAACTTCAAAAGCACTTTCTTGCCACCTACTCATCGGTCAATTTCAAGTCATTCAACCACATCAAGTTCTGCTCCGGTGATGACTATGAACACTTCAAATATATAAGATCAACTTGCAGAATTGGCCAAAATCATTGAAGGGATGTCTCAACACATGCAATATCAAGATGCCCTAATCAAAAAACTTCTCACAAAGGTGGACAAGCTTGAAGAAGGCGACCATGCCATCAAAAAGCAACCATCTTCCCCAGCAGCCCAAAATAAAACAGCAACATCTGTGGAGCAATGTCATGGCAAACAAAAAGTGGTGGAATAAAATCCATTTCAAGGATCATCCAACTCCTTCATCCATATATCCCAACTTGACAAATACATTAAGGGGGCACTCAAAAAACAATTGGAAGGGAGTTCACGGCCGACGCACACTTACGCCAAGCCCTACACTGCAAGAATTGATGCTCTTAAAATGCCAACGGGCTATCAACCACCAATGTTTCAACAACTTGACGGCAAAGGCAACCCAAAGCAACATATAGCGCCCTTTTTCGAGACAGGCAATGATGCTGGAACATATGGAGACCTCCTAGTCAAACAATTCGTGCGGTCACTAAATGGCAGCACCTTCAACTGGTACAATGACTTAAAGGCTGATTCCTTCAATAATTGGGAGCAGCTAGAGTACAAGTTCTTAAACCGGTTCTACAGCATGAAGAGAACTTTCAGTATGACCGAACTCACCGATAGCTGCTGCCAATAGAAATATGACCCAGTAATTAACTACATCAACCGTTGGAGAAGTTTAAGTCTCAACTACAAAGACCGTCTTCCGAGGCTTCCAGCATAGAAATGTGCATTCAAGGAATGCAGTGGGGCTTGAAATACATCCTAAAAGGGATCCGACCCCATACTTTTGAAGAACTCGCCACTCGCGCTCATGATATGGAATTGAGCATGATGTCCAGTGGAATATATGAACCGCCTACCCAAGATTTCTCAGACGACGAGACGAAAAATAAAACACTTCAAATAGTGGGGGCAATCATACCTTCAACACTCCTAGAAACGAGTATAAACTTTTTACAATCTCCTGCAAACGAGGATAAACTTTCTACAATCTCTTGGAAATAAGGATAAACTTTCTACAACCTCCTGAAAACAAGGATAAACTTTCTTCAATCACCTAGAAACGAGGATAAACTTTCTGCAATCTCTTGAAAATGAGGATAAACTTTCTACAACCTCCTGGAAACGAGGATAAACTTTCTTCAATCTCCTATAAACAAGGATAAACATTCTTCAATCTCCTAGAAATGA